CTTCGTTTCTTGGAAGTGAACGAAGGAATGCGTTCACACGTAATTAATGAATGTTTTGGCCTCTCTATGTATGCAGTCTTAAACAAAGCAAAGTTACGAATTTTGACACGAGCGCATCGAAGATTTTGATTCACCCAAAATCTAAAGGAGCTAGCAATGGAGAGAGACATCGCTTTGTATGGATCCTGGCAAAGTTTTGGTGTCTGCGCGTTTTGGTTATCTGATGCTGCTAACTTATTAAAGTACTAAGAGATTTTCGGTGATAGCCTGAAACACCATCCGAGAGGAGTGACAGGAACTTTCGTGGTATCATACTCCGGGAAAGTGACACTCACTGACATACTCTCCGACATCAGTGACTTTTACACTAATCTTTTTACTTACATATCACCCTTTACGTCAAATTGAAATGTATCTACTACTAATTATCCTGAGACTAAGCAACTCGGAGACAAAGTCGAAAAGGGCTGGAATGGAGTATCCAAAGTACCCTTGTAAGATCAGCTGACTTCAGCTGTTCTAAGTAACCTCAAAAGTGTTTGTGTCGATTCACTATTTATCTTTGTTGTTTGCTTTTGAACAGATTTATCCTGCGGAAGGCCACCACGGGTGTCCAACGCTCAACCTCAGTACCCAGCCACTAATTTCAGTTCCGTTGTTACTTACGTTTGTAACGAGGGTCACACATTGTCCGGAGCAGACAAGAGAACTTGCCGGGCAAATGGCAAGTGGGACGGCGGGGGACCTAACTGCTGTAAGTATCGGCTAGTACGATATGTCCTCATTGATTTTGCTACCATGAAATTAATATTTTTTCCATTATTTCTTTTCAGTAAAAATGTGTTCTTTACCAACAATTCCATTTTTTACGTACATTGCAAAGCCTGTAAATTACACCCGGAAATACAGGACTGGTGAGAGAATAACTTTGGCCTGCAAAAAAGGGTTTAAAAAGAAACCGGGCGGTAATCCTGTAAGAATCTGCATCAGCGGGTTGTGGACTCGATTTCCGTTTCAGTGCGAAGGTAAGGTCGACTGAAAATCGTATCTCCGCAAGGCAATTTAGTATTATCAACTCAGTTGATAATAGCAAATTACCTTCTTATACTCTCTCACCGACGCAGCACCACAGTTTCTTTAGAAACAAGCCCATTTATTCTTATCTCCACAATTGGTACAGACAGATTAATTAATCTTTGATTCAAATAAAAAAAAATACATTAAATCTCTCTCTTCTTTGGCTGACAAATAACAAAACGGGAACAAGAACCCGAAAAAGAACTAAATGTATGCTTATATGTGAGAAAGATTTACAAAGCTTGTAAGTGAAGAAGTTCAAAGATTACCGCCTTCTGTTTCTTTCCCCTCCATGGATGAGAGTAAGGTAATGAGCATGATTCTGAATGGTTTTCCGCATGAGGTAGAAAATCAGTAACCAGATCTCAAACCATTGGAAACAACAATGACAAAAGCGTACATAACAACGAAAGTAAAATTAAATTTTGAATCCTTCACATGTCTCATTTTGATATTATATAATTTTTTTCTGCACCTACGCTAGAAAATAGATATTTTATACTAATATATTATATAATCCTACCATAAGACTGGTCCGTGTGTGTATGAACATGTATTTAGGTATACAGGCATGTAAAAGAACCATCCAAGCCCCTAGAACTAAATGCACTCAGGAGTGTAGTCCTCAAAGTGGATGTGGCTCAGATAAGTACAAGTGCCTCTGTGATGGAAGATGTGGGTTCAGTTGCGTGGAAGTAGGTCAGTAGTAACTTTGTATTCAGGTAAAAGAATATAACCCGGTAATCCCTATAGTCAGTTAAGCGGCAAGTCCCACCTTAGAGGTGTGTCAGTCCACGGTTAGACAAGGAGTTCGGTCGTGAAAGTTTGCAGAAAAGATAGAAACTTCGGTGTTGCCATATGTTGGGAGCTCCTTCAGCAGCCGCATTCTTTTGTATTCATACTCATTTAACGACTGAATAAAAATGGGACGTTACCGTTTATCAGCTAATTTGATGTGACGAAATAGTGTGAAACGTTTTATACGTTTAGGTACAAAGAAAATGGCTAACAAAGAACAATGGTCGGTCTTATGAAAAAAATCCTTATTCTTGTCTGTGGCTAGTTGAATATCTGAATTGAATGAATTGTTGTTCAAGTTTGCGAATGAAATATGCACGTGAATCTCGAGAATCTGTATGAAGTTCGAAGGGACGTATTAGCATAAAAATTTAAATGGGTTAATTGTTCCAAAACTACTGTCTGTTTAGTTTGACAGAGAGGAACGTATCTTTGTTGTTTCAACATGAAAAGGGATGTAGTGTCTATCGAATGTAAGATTATTGGGTTATTTTCAGATGAAGAACCTTTGACGTTTCAATTTGTGTGATAATTGGTACTGTCCTAAGCTCTGTCATTTCAATTTCATCTCTTTCTTTTCTCTGCTATACGCCACTCGCCATGAGAGTAAAGTTTCTTACGCAGGTTATCTGAATCAGCCGTTCCACTTTTATGGCATTCTGTCTACACGTTCGGTGTCTGTATCTACGACGGCTTTGTATCTGTTAGCTGAACAGGACTAGTGCATAGAAATAAATGGTTTGTCGTTTCATATGTTTTTGGTCCAATAAAATCAAACAGGAATGTCTTGTGGAAATCCACCGTCAATCAGCAAT